TGGGGTGGGATATATGCCCATGCCCCAAGTTTTCAACATCAGTCTCCAGAACGGTCACCAGGGTAGTAACAATGGTAACACGCTGCCAGCTACGGCCCCTATAACCTTCACTGACGTTAGCAATATGGGTATGGGTAATATGGGCAATATGGGTATGGTAGCTGAGCCTACCTTACCTACCTTGCCCACCGCGACCGCGACCAGCTCCCGCGCTGGCAGCAGTCGAGTTGGTGACAACGACCCTCTACCCTCCTCCCCTCCACCCTCATCACCGCCAAACAAACCATCAGAGTCCCTTGTCACCGACTTCATGAAGCAGTTGATATTTCGACACGCGCCCAGAACCAACGAAAACCAGGGTTTGCGTGACGCGCTGTTCAGTATCCAAAAATCCCTCATATCCGGTCGGCTCTCCCTCCACCACGCGCGCGACCTCCCCAAGCAGTGGTATCTTGCTCATGGAGTTGATGAGGGTATCTATATGGTAATCAAGAAAGGGATCAAAGAATTTCTCCATCTCGAGAGGGATTATATACAGCGGTCGTCGTCACCACCACCACCACCACCACCACCACCGCAGGCGGCACCAGCTCCCAAGCAACAGGCTCCAGCACCCCCGCCACCCGAAACCATAGATCCCAAGTTATTATCACAAGGTAAACCCCATCCGTTTTTTTGATCTATAGCATTTGCTAACAGCCGTGTTCACCAGACTCGTCCATCCCCCAAGACTCGCTTTGGCAAGACGTTCATAACCACCGCGGCCCACCCCCCATCGAACAGAACGACGATCAAGAACAAGAAGATGACGACGACACCATCTATACCAGCTTCATCAACGATGATGAGGAGACCAATCCGGATGATGGCCCGCGTACCGACTACGACGACGACGAGACTGCGACTGAGGCTGATGATGATGACGAGCTTTGAGGGATTTTTTTACACAAGAGGGGGATTCTACACTTCGATCTATTATTACAGATAATAATACTTTTACACTTCTGATGGCAGATTTGGCACTTTTGGCACGTCTGGTACATCTTACACCTTGCGGGTTTTTTTTTTCGTAACTCGACAACGGTCGACTTTGAGCATGTTCAAAACAGTACATCTACCATACAAAACAACATCCTTATGCGACTGTTCCCGTCGTTGTCAACTCGTGCAGCTGGTCCCCATACAACGCAACGTAGTCTTTTTCACGGTTATCGACGTCGTCACGGAATGGCACGTTTGCCTGGCGGTAGTGCCCGCGTATGGCATCGACCCGCTGCCCTACCTCCCTCGCAACCCCCTCCAAGAACGCCTTAAACTCTTCATTGCTCAGCGTATCACCGCCAGCGTGTTGGTATTGCCGTCGTATACAGGCCTTCACATCACTGAAGTATGCCTCGATGGGGTTGAAGTCTGGTGAATATGGCGGCAAGAACCATAACAGCACACCTCTGTTGTCGCATGCGGTCTTGATGGCGGGGTCCTTGTGCCATGATGCGTTATCCATCACCAATATACTATAACGACCAGGGAACGGGTTCATCTTAGGCAACACCTCCTCCTCCAACCAAGCAATAAAACCGGTCGTATCTGTTGCTCCCTTATAACACAACACGTCGATGAGGCCATCCACAGTTATTGCTGGCAATAGATGGAACCGTTTCCCCCTGGTGAGCGCACTCTCTGCAACTGGTGCCATACCCTTTGGTGCCCATCCAGTACGACGAGCACCGTCCCTCTTATCAACACCAGACTCGTCACAGAACACGTACATCTCTGCTGAAAACGTGGAAACCTTCCTCAACCAGTCTAACCGCAATGGCTCGCTGCGCTGGGAAGCCTTGTGCGCCATCCTCTTGTTGGTCCATTCAGAAGCCTTCAATTGCTTTGATATGGCGCTCGTTGATACATGTATGTCCATTTCAGTGGCCAGATAGTACTGTATCTCATCGAGGTATAAATCGGGCTTGTGGCGAAGGAGCTCGAGAACTTCCTGTACGACCAACAGTTAGATACCATACCAGGGTACTCAAAGTCTACAGCCATTGCTCACCTCCATGACCGCTGGCGTCAATATTATTGCGTTATATTTCGAGTTACTCTGGGGGTATAATTTGCCGGTGGTATCGAAGTTTCGTTTTAACCTCCAGATTTGGCGCTCGCTCATGCCAACGGATTGCGCGATTTGACGTGGATGCTCGCCAGCCGTCAGCATCATGTAGATACTTTGGCGCTGCCTCTTATTACTGCGTGTTCTCATGGCTATACCGATTATACATCGCGAGAGCTTCAAAATCCGACCAAAACCAGCAGATTTGGCAGTAAAACCGCGGAGATATTCAACTTTTACGATTCACGATGTCTGTTTTGATGTGGTGTTGTGTAAAGGGGGGTGCCCGTGCAAAGTGGGGACTGACACCTCGATTTCAACACACAGCACAAGGTCGGGTGCCTTGGCTCCTTTTTCGATAGTGAAGAAAATCCGGGTAGACAAGTGGGCGAAATCCGAGTGTCCCCAAGACCACTCGTCGGTACAGTTAAAGGTCTCAAAGTCCGACCAGAGCATGTACTGCCCTTCTGCGCTGGGACCCTTGAGCTTGTCGGTCCAGTAGACGAGGTAGAAAGGGTCGCTTGTGATGTTGGTCGGAGCCATGTGCCATATGTTGGACATGCCGTGCCATCCAAGGGATCCGACTGGCTCTGATGCTCCCCTGGGTCCCACCATATCGGTGTGGTCCTCCTCGAGCACTTCATCTCTGTCTTCTCCTTTCTTCTCAAGATACCAGGACATCAAAGGCCGAAATGCTGCGGCCGCCTTGGGGTTCCGCAAAGCAAAGATAATGGGAAAGACGTCGGCTGGGGCATAGGTGTCGTTCCGCGGGAAAACAACGTCGAACTCAATCGTAGCTGGATATTGTACAATCTCATCGGTTTCTTGACTCTCTTGAGCCAGTACGGCGGAGGAAAGAAGGAGTAAGAAGGCTGTAAGGGAATCAAAGCGGCCATTGCCCGAGAAGATACCGGTGGGTATCATGGCGGTTGAGACTGCTGACGACGCGGTGATACCACGTCTCGGCCGAGGATTGTAGAGAAGTTGTAAAGAGGTCTAGACCAGAATTTGAACAACAGCTGAGAAGGGATGAGTGAGATATATGGCATCAATGGTGCCCGGTTATACGGCTCAGAAATCCAACAGTGGTGGAGAGACACCGCCTCCTAGGCACTGCATAGAAATTTCCAAGATTGTTTAGCGCTGACGGTGAATTTAAGGCCTCTCGCTCTTACACTTGCCTTAAGGGGCAACCCGCCATGCTTGCCTCTTCATTTCCTCATAACTACGCTGTGTCATACTAGTGGCTAGCGCTGTCACTTCAAGGTGACCCTGGAGATCCTGCGCCAGGCCGCAAGTGATGGAGGCTTCCCATTTTCGCAGAACATCAACGTCTGGATAAAAACTGTCCCAAAGCTGAGGTCAACATGTAATTTTTGGTTCGAGATTTGAGTCAAGTTGTACCTGATTCAGATCCTCAATTTCAAGGCCGGTCTGGCCATAACCCCATCCCCCGGGGGATAAAGTAGGATCGGGGCAGTGTGGACAGACGGATAGGTTGCATTTGTTGGCGGTTCGGGGTCCAAGAGGACCCTGCCGGTGTCCCTGAAAGTATAACCTAAAATTAAGGTATGCTTGTCCGTACAAGAAGTGAGCATTGAGCTAAACAGAAGGCCAACCCTTCCGTTCGCATGTGTCCAGACTTTCACTTCCAACTGACCTCATTTACTCGGGACCAACGAATTCCCTTCCATACTACCTTCCTACCACCGCTTAGCTGGACCTCGAAATGTTCCATCCGCCAGTATCAAAGTGACATACGTCTCCGTGCTTTTCTTCAGTGTCACAACTGCCACGGTCCAGCACGCAAAGCCATAACCCATGGTATCCAGGCTATATCATCCCTAGAATAGTGTCACCGCCATCCTTCTGCTGTCAAGGCCCAAGCTGACGTCGTACTTACCTTTGGACAGAGTTCAACCGTCTTCATTTGTCGTCTGATTTCAATAATCAACCATGCGTATAGCACCAGTGATTGGTATCCGCGGTTGTTATCCCGGCGAGGATCAGACCGGTATTCACACGTGAAAGCCATGGGGAATGTCGCGAACCCGCTCGCTTTGTCACTTCTTGTGAGCTTCATACGTCTCTCAATCTACTCGCCCGACTTTTTGGAATAAAGCGGTAGAGCGTTTCCGGTCGTCGGAAGCATTGATAACGAGTGTGAGATTGCGAGAATGCATGTACCAACTGCCTTTGTCGGCTTCATCCTCGAGATGTCTCGCGGAGGGGATATGACAACGGGACACACGGTGCGTAGGTTGGAAGATGCGCTGTCAACCAGAGAAAATGGGACAGGATCGCAATGAAAGATTGAAAATACAAGACTGATGAAAAGTCTACAAGTCAACAAGACTCCAAGTCGCGGTCCGGTGAATGAGTGGAAGAGATGGGACGGCGGGAACGGTCTGGAGAAGAACCCCGCATATGCATTCGTGGGGTGGCCCTGTAATCTAGCGCTAAGCCCACCACTGTACCTGGGAACTTTGATCGAAGCCCCTTACCTTGGACACTTTTGCCAATGGATCCTGAGGTCAACCGGACACTCGTCCAGTCCACGGCATGTCTCTTGAGTCAAGATCATGAAATCCTAAGTAAAGGCATTAGTAGAAGAAGCTGTTTAACAAAAGTCATGCTACTTCGGTTCGAAGGTAGAAAGAAATACAGTTCGCCTTCGCATGAAAGCATATGTATATGCACTGTAAGCCATGGCTACGAAGCCGAAGCGCCCAACAACGGATGCCTTTATAAAATGTTTTTCCCAACGGCTACCAAGGCATGCATGCCGCGAAGGTAAAGTTTCAGAGAGCGTCGAAAATAAAAGAACATCAAATCGTGCAAACAGAAACATAGAGATGCGTAAGTATCAGGGAGAAAAATTGCAAAAAGAATGTGACAACTGTGAGATTCGAACTCACGCATCTTGCGATACTAGAATACACCGCACTTTGTTGTGCAGAAGAACTGTTGGTTCTTGAGTCTAGCGCCTTAGACCGCTCGGCCAAGTTGCCAATTTTTGTGGATTGCTGAAGAGATGGGTGGAAAACAGAACCTAAGTAGCCATGGTCGGTTGCCAAAGTATAATAACCACAACCCCAAGCCTACAGCACAGATATAGGTCAAAAAGGCTAGTAGACCCCCCAGGAGGATCAACACCCCAAGCCCAGGTCAACCAAGCGAAATGCTAAAGCCAGGCGGCCTTCATCTTTTTTCATACCTCACCCCGCGCTCACTCTCGCAGCGGTTACGCCTTCCGCGGAACTCCCTCGGGTGATTAGCGCTGCTGGCATTGGCAAACGGGAAGGAGTCAACAATCAAGATCGGGAACGGATAAACGAAGCAAGTAGAAGAAGAGTAAGAAGCAGGGAGAATGAGGTGAAGTTTGTCCGCCGTGAGTACGACGAGTCTATGGGCGACAGGAGACTCCACAACTGAAAGAACTGGATGCGACTTTGCCATTCAAAGAGAAAATACAAAGGGAAAAGGGCGAGGAGGTCCTCCGGGACTTCAACGAGTTCATGGGCGAAAGGAAACTCCAGGATTGGAAGGGACTTTGCCATTTCATTGGGTTGTCGGGGGACTTTAGGGAGATCCAGGACTGTCGGGAGGTATGTATGGACAGACAAGTGCAACCTGTTTCTTTTTTTCTTTTTTTTCTTTTCCTTTCCCCCCTTCTCTTGGACCGAACCCGTTGACGACTAACTTGGACTTACCTTTCTAATTCTTCTTCATAAAGGGCCCTCGAATCCGTGCAAGTCAGCATCCACGACATTGTGCAAGCCGCTAATATCGTCAAGACCGGAGGCACACTGCGAAGACCGCCGCGGCGATTCAAGACTACTGACAAGCTGATGGAATATGAGAAGCGAGAGGAAAAGACGTATCCTCTGTGGGCGGCTGTGGCAGGGTCTCCAGAGCGGGCGTTGCTGAAGCATCACATCTACAGTGAACAAGAACTAGCGGAGATGGCTCAACGAAAAGGAAAAGCAGAAAAAATTGGGCGGCGGATGGGAGTGGTTTGAGACGAATATGCAGAAGAAGAAGTGGTTCTCGTCACCCCGCTAGGGATAGTCATGGGAATGGGGATCGGTTTTGCAGACCTGGCGAGTAATGAAGAGACGTAGACGTGGCATGCGAGTCGAGAGAATTTTTGCCCACTAATATACATAGATACCTGTCAAAATAACAGCGGTTGTCGAATGGTTTCGTTGTGCGTCCAGTTGGGCAAAGCTATTTTTGGTTGGTGCCAAACGGACATAGGCAAATAGTCCACGTCAAACCACCGCCCGTCCGTTTGCAACGGAAGCTCTAGTACTCGTGTGATTGGATATCGACATCTTTTTATTTATATTACGCTTTTTCTTCGTTTCGAATCAATCTTCTTCCTTCGTGTGCACTACTCGAACTTACCCCATTCCCTTATCCACAGCCTCCTCAACTCGTTGTCAAAACACCAAAACCTCGGGCCATAGGCGAAAGACACTGGTATCCTTCCTCACTAAAAAACTTGAGAGTAAACCAAAACCCCCAAACCAAAGTTCATACGATCGATGCAACCAACTCACAGAATCAAAACCCTCCTAGCAAGTAAGCCACCCCCCTCAAGACACCTGTATACTTATACCTATACCAGTCCCTTATCATCGCTAACACCCTCCTTTCCCAACCGTACCCAGCAGCCATGACCTTCCTCCAAGCCTTTCTCCCCCGCTCCATCTCTCAACAACCCTTTTACACCTCCCTCCTACGACGTCTGCAACTCGGGTCCAACCCTGCCCGTTCCTCCATCTCTCGCTTGATCAAACTTCCTCGTGCAAATGGCAGCGGCAGCGGGCATATCTCAACTTCCAGTTTCAGACTGCAGTCTACTACTACCACTGCTACTACTGGTAGACCACCCAGCAAATCATCGAATGGCAAAAAGAAGAAATCGAAGAAGAAGAGGTCGAAGTTGACAAAGGAGCAAAAAGAAAAGCAAGATAATGCTGTCCGCGAGTTCAACGAGTTTATGGGTGATAGGAAACTTGATGACTGGATCAGACTTTGCCGTGTTATTGGTTTGGAAAGGGAGTTTGAAAGTGTTCAGGATTGTCGGGAGGTAAGTATTCTTGTTGGGGCTTTTTGTTAAGCATTAATATTGACAAACAAATCAGGCCATCCAGAGGGTGAACGTCAACATCTACGACGTTCTCGACGCCCGTAACATAATTCAGGCTGGAGGGGAGGCGAGGCCGACGTGGTTTCGGACCCCTCACGCGCTGTCGGAATACGCCAGGCAAGAAAACAAATTCTACCCCAGAGAGGCCGTCATCAGCACAGAGCCGGAGGGTGCGATGCTGAAGTATATTCTCAACCCGGGCTTGGAAGAGAAGCGACAGAAAGAGCGAGAGGAGAAGAAGCGGAAGAGGAAAGAGAAGACGTTGAAGAAGGAGACGAAGCCAAACAAGGCTACCAAGGAAGGTGATTTGAAAGGAACTTTTCAGGTGAACTCGGAGGAGAGGGGCCAAGATGAAATGTAGAGAGGTGGTTATAACATCGCATGTACACACTACCAAAAGAGCTCGGAATACCGGCTGTAATGAAGTAAAGTTTGCTTAGAACCCGCAGGATATTGCAGTCCAAACTCTAAAATTACCCTTCCTCTATATTCTCCACCATTCTATCACAAGCACAACGCTCTACACCATGCTCATGGCCACATCTAACTCCGAATCTCCCACATTCTGATCTTGCCCACGTCATTACCCACCGCCAGCACATCCCCGCCATTCTGATGGCTAAACGCCACAGCCGTGATCCTGCCCAACGGGGTCTGCTCCGTCGGCCAGTTCCTGTACACGGTGCAGCTAGGCAAGTGCACCAGCCTCAGCGCGTCCTTCTTGTGGAAGCTACCAAACGCCAGCAGCTGACCGTCCGGCGCGAACGTCACCACGGAGATAGGCGTCGTGAGCTGCTCAAACGTCCTCTGCGGGGTGGGGATGCTCTTGATCTGCACCGTCTCCTCGCCCTGCTGCTTCTTCTTCACCGGCTCAACCAGGTCGTTCCGGTCGTAGATGTTCAAGATGCCGCTGTTCGAGCCCACAGCCACCCAGCGATCGCCGCCGATCTGGCTCGGCCCGGTGCCCTTTTGTCCGCCCAGCGCAATGACCGTGCCGCCGATCGAGCCCTCGTCGCGCCAGACGCCGACCGTGCGACGGCTGAGCATGCTCCACTCGGTGACCTGGCCGTTCTTTCCGAGGATCGAGAGACCGTTGCCGTCGCCCCACCAGGCAAAGTCGGAGATACCGCCGCGGCCGTTGGTGCGCGCCTGCGCAATCCACTGCATCGTGCGCACGTTGACAATGTTGACCATGCCGCCACCCTTCTTCTCCGTGGCGATGAGACCCAAGTAGCGACCGCAGGGCGAGGGGCGGAAGTTCTCCATGGTGCGCTGCTCGCGCTGGTGGCCCTGGATCTGGGTGACCTTCTTGACGGCACCCGAGGCCAAGTTCCAGCTGTGGAAGTAGCGACGGCGACCGGCGAAGATGATGTCGTCGCCGTCTGGGCCGAGGAACTCGGAGCGACGAAGGTCGGTGCGCTTGACTTGCACCGAGGTGAGGGCCGGGTTTGGCACTGGGTGCGCAGTCGGGTCGATCTGGTGCAGGTACATGATGGAGGAGACGCTGCACGAGAGCAGGATGGGGTGCTTGGGGTGGAAAGAAAGCGAGCTGACGGACTGCTTGTGGGTGTCGGGAATGTCGCGCGAGCGCTGGATGTCGATGGTCTCGGGGCGTAGCTTGCGGCGCTTGCTGCCACGGCCGTCGTTGCTGGCGTTGAAGGAGTTGACGTCGCGGAGGTAGGTCTCGAGAGGGAGGGCGGAGTCAATGTCATCTTCGGCGTCGCTGTCTTCCTCAGAGGAGGAACCGGCGGCTGAGGATCTTCTCCTCCTGCGCTGGCTGGCAGCAGAGGACTCCTTGGCCCACTCGGGAAGGGGATATAGTCGGAGGTATTGAGAGCGCAGACGGCGCGCGTATTCGGTACCGCTCACAACATCCTCGGCCTCGGACTGACGCAGCTTGCGCAACCGCGTGGCAGCCGCAAGAGAAACTGTCAACCGCTCGTCGTCACTGTCCTCCCACGCTGGGGGTTCCTCCTTCTGCTCGTATGCCTCTAGTGCCGAGGGCGCGGCCTCTGTCTGCTTCTTGTCGCCAGCGGGGATGCCGGTATCGAACGCGAAGAGGGCGTTATCATCGATGTCTTCGAGACCGGTCGTGCCATCTTGCCCGTCGGCCTTGGCGAGGGCCTTGGAATCGGTAAGGTCGGCGAGGAAGTCGTCGCGGAAGAGCTGGGCACGGAAGGTGTCGTTGTTGCCCAAGACAAATCGTTCGAGGTCTTCTTCATCGGAATCCTTCTCGTCAATCTCGTACTTTTTCCTTGGGTCGGCAATCGAGTCCATATCGGAGTCCTCCTCCTCCTCATCGTCGTCCTCGTCTACCGACATATCGTCGTTGTTCTGGATCTCCTCCTCATCGCTCTCGTCAAATCCGACGAACTCGTTGTCGTCGGCAATCTGGTCTTTCGTTTGGGTCGCCATGGTGTTCTGTTGTGGCTGGTCGTGCAAAGTACCGAAACAGAGGTTTGGCGATGAGATTTGTTCGTGGTCAATGGGGTGGAATTGGACGAAAGTGCCACGGCCAGTCGCTAGTCTTCGGATTGCTTGACGTTGGGAACTTTTTTTTCGTTATCAGCCTTGCAGATTGCAGATCTCTGCCCCACTTAAGATGGACCCACTTGCTATCACAAACATGCAGCCTTGCTCTAGGTACATTTTCCAAGTACCTTCGCGCATATGTATCAGCCACCACGGCCCCGATGTACTTCATTATTGATGTTCCTATGTTGAAAATGACACTTTGGTAAAGTTAGACCGCCATTAAGTCAAGATCTAGAGGCACTTTGATATCTAGTGATTTTACAGGTACCTTGGTATATTCTTAAGCCAAGGGAAACATGTCCCTTGCATTCTACGAAT